TGTAAAACTTATTAAAGCAAATGCATTAATAAATTTAAATCGATTTGAAGAAGCTTTAGAATATTATGATTGTGCAATTTTAATAAATCCTTAAGGTTATCAAGCTTTTGCAGGTAAAGGTAAAATCTTTTATTTAACAAAAGCATTTGCATTAATAAATTTGAAGCGATTTCAGGAGGCTTTATAAAATTATGATAAGGCTATTGAAAATAATCCTTAGGTTGCTGATTTATATAAAAAAAAAGGTAAGTTATGTAGAACTAAATAAAGCAAGTGCATTAATGGAATTAAATAAATTTGAAGAAGCTTTATAATATTTTGAAAAAGCAATTTCACTAAACCCTGAAGCTTCTGATTTATATTTAAATAAAGGTGAGGAAAATTTTTAAAATAGCAAACGCACTATAATATTTAAACCGGTACAAAGAAGCTTTACTGTATTCTGATTAAGCAATTTAAAAAAATCCTGAAGATTACTACGCTTTTGCAATTAAAGGCAATAACAATCGTTTTAAAAATAGCTTATGTATTAACAAATTTAAATCGATTTGAAGAAGCTTTAGATCACTATGATTAGGCAATTTAAAAAAATCCCTAAAATTCGTATTTATATGACAGAAAAGGTAAAATTTATTGTAAATTCTAAAGCAAATGTATTAAATTGTTTGTATCGATTTGAAGAAGCTTTACAAAATTATGATTAAGCCATTTAGATTTAACCCGAAAAATTAAGTTTATATAATGATAAAGGTATGATAAAATTTGTTAATAAATTGCATATACGTTAAAAAAGTTGAATAGATTTGAGGAAGCTTTATCATATTATGATTATGTAATTTTTTAAAATCCCGAAGATTACCATACTTTTGCATTTAAAGGTGATTCTTTTTTAAATTAAATATAGCAAGTGTTTTAGAAGATTTAAATCGTTTAGAGTAAGCTTTATAATATTATGATTATGCAATTTAAAAAAATCCTGAAAATTACTAATTTTTCTCAAATAAAGGTATAAAATACTTAATTTTACAACTAAGCTAATGTCTTAAACAATTTAAATCGATTTGAAGAAGCTTTACAATATTATGATTACGCAATATAAAAAAATCCTTAAAATGATGACTTGTATAATAATAAAGGTTAAATATTATTTAAATATAATATAGGAAATGTATTACAGAGCTTAAATAGATTTGAAGAATCGTTAATATATTATGATAAAGCCATTACAATTAACCCTGAAAAATTTAATTTATATTGTAATAAAGGTAAAAATATTTGTTAAAAAAGCAAATTCATTATCACAGTTAAATCGATTTGAAGAAGCCTTATAATAATATGATTATGCAATTTAAAAAAATCCTGAGAATTCCTTTGCTTTTATAAATAAAGGTAAGCAATAATTTTTCTTAAACTACAGCAAATACATTTTACAAGTTAAATCGATTAGAAGATGCTTTATAAGAATACAAATATGCAATGTAAATAACCCCTTAAGATGCTGATTTATATAATAATACTGGTAAATTAAATTTCTTATTGCATAGGGAATGTCTTACAAGATTTAAATAGATTTGAAGAATCTTTATAATATTATGAGTATGCTATTGAAAAAAATCCTGAAAATGACAGCTTTTTATCAAATAAAGGTAAATGATATTTTTATCATAAATAGCTCTAGCTTTAAAAAAGTTGAATAGATTGGAAGAAGCTTTAAATTTTTATGATTATGCCATTTAAATTAATCCTGAAGAATATAGTTCTTATTACAACAAGGGTTGAAAATATTTTTAAGCTATAGCACTTGCATTATAGGATTTAAATAGATTTGAAGAAGCTTTAGAATAATATGGGTATGCAATTGAAAAAAATCCTGAATAATATCAACCTTTTGCAAATAAAGGTTTAAAAACTATTAAATTATGATATAGCAGTTGTATTATAATGTTTAAATCGATTTGAAGAGGCCTTACAATATATTGATTATGCAATTTAGAAAAAATCAGAAGATGCAAGTTTATATAAAAAAAAAGGTATATAATAATTGCTTAATTATCATCCAGCAGTTACATTAATAAAATTAAATCGATTTGAAGAAGCTTTATAATAATATGATTAGGCAATTGAAAAAAATCCTTGTGATTATCAATCTTTTGAGAATAAAGGTAAAATTAATAATTAAAACTAGCATCATTATTACTTCGTTTAAGTAGATTGGAAGAAGCTTTACTTTTTTATGATTATGCAATTTAAAAAAATCCTGAAGACTATAGAATATTATTAAATAAAGGTAAAATTGATTTAATAATAAATATAGCACTTGCATTAGAAAATTTAAACCGATTTGAAGAAGCCTTACAACAATATGATTATGCAATAAAAAAAAATCCTGAAGATTATAAAATTTTTATAAATAAAGGTAAAATTAATTTAAAAATAAAATTTAGCAATTATGGTGAAAAAATTAAATAGATTTAAAGAAGCTTTCTATTATTTTTAGTAAGCAAAACTTAAATATGATTAAAATAAGTTGAGATTTAAGGTTTTGATTTGAAGATTCATTTAATTTAATCATATAATATAAAATAATTGATTATTCTATTGAATCGTTCTATCTTTATTGTTGTTGGCTGATTAAATATATCTAGCCTTGCATTTTGTATTTTAACAAAATCTTCTAATATCATAAAAATTCTTATTAATTATCCTATTCAAATTTTCTTTATCAAAAATTTTTGCCTTCATTTTATTTATATTATATTCATATTTTTAATGTAACAACATTATTTTATTTATTAAATTATCCTTTAATCTTTAATTTCTATTTTTCATTTGAAATCTAAATAAAATCATATTTTAAATTAAGAATAATATTATTATATTTATTTCTCCTATTTTTTTATGAATTATCATCTAAAACCTTATCATCATAGCAATTTTATGTTTATGTTTCTATCTTCAGCGATTAACGCTTCTATTTCTATAAAGCAGCATTAATTTTATCCATTTCAATTTTTTCTCTCTTAAAATTAAAAAAATGGAAAACGAAACTTATTCTGTATAATATCTGTAACTTTTATGTTTTTTAATCACATTTAAGATGCCTTCCAAACAATCCTAACTATCATTTCAACATCAAAGACAAATATAGCTCAGCCTTTTCATACTTGCTGAATAAAAAATTTCTAAATTATGCAAATTATTATTTCAAAAAATTTCAACTTTGTAGATCATAATTTTAGGCTCTCTTTATGAAAAAAAGCATAAAAGTTTAAAAAGAACACCTAAAACAAATATTACTACTAGCTCATATTCTCATAATTCCTTTTTGAATATAAATTATGGATTTAAAATAAATGCTCTGATTTTTTTGAAAATTTTTATATTAAGGAGCTCTGAAATAAAGTTAATTCTATTAGGCAAATTCATAAATCTGCTTTTTCCTCTTGTTTTTTTTTTAAATTTTAATTTTTTTTTTGTTAAGCCTATTTATCTCTTATTAACCTTTAAATAATAAAATGAGAAATGATACAGAATTTGTTACATATGCGCTTTCTTTAATGACTTCTGAATTTAAGAAATTCTTTAATGATACATAATGAAACAAAATGAAATTCAAATTTTTTTTTCTTAATCACTAATTAAAGTAAACAAGATGATTTAGAAGAAGCGTTTTTTTTTCTAAATTTAACAAAAAGTGTTGTTTTCAAAAAAACATTATCAACACATAGAAATTAATTGTCAAAACTCAAATTCGAATGTGCTCTTATCTGGTTTATAACAATTGCAAGTTCAAAAAATACAATTAAGTTTTTGATTATAAAGTAGTTCTATAATTTAGGAAAAACAGTTCTTTAATCTGAGATTTATTATTAGTTTTAATCCTTTATTATATATTTATTTGAAAAGATTATACTTTTTTTATTCATTTGACAATTTTTAATTCAGATTCTTAGGGAATTTTTAAATTAAAAGGCTTACGAAAATTGACAGTTGGATTTCTTTTTAATGTTTTATTAATAACTAAATTATTACTCCCTTCATTGAATAACCAGAGAAAAGTTGTGTCGGTGTTTCCTACATTCTCCTTTTGATTCCCATTCTCATCTTAATATCAAGCCATCTTAGGGCTGTACTATTCTCTTCCTAAGAAATTATTTAGATAAAACATGTTCGGTTTTTTAGGGTGACCTTGATGTTGTTAGAAAAGCTTGTGATTACTCTATTCCCATTATTAGCCGTTTAAGTTTTGATTTACTAATTTCAAATGATCCTGTCCCGCTTGAGCTCAAGGTACCAGTGACTCCTCATTTAATTACCATAAACTTTTTATATGCTCTAAAGAGTATATCAGACTTAAGTAATACCTTTCCTCTAAATCTTTATCTAATTGGCGAAGTTAGACCAAAAATTAGAAAGGGAAAAAATCTTTTTCCATAATGACTTGCATGAATAGAATCTCTTTTTTATTGCAATTTCAGTATACCTTCAAAGCCATTTGCAGTAGTAAAATTCATTCAGATAAATGGAATTAAGGAAATTTATGGTTTAGTTGATGTATACAAATTAGTTTTTATTTTTTGAGTCTTTGGTAGATTTAGTTGCTAATGGCTTGGAATATTTGCCAGATTTATTTGTTAAAGAATCAACACCATTTTGCATTCAAATATGGCTTTCTTTTTGAAAATACTCCCATTTTTATAATTCTAGCCTCTTTCATACTGTTTAGCTATTTATCCTTTAACTTTTTTATCAATCAATACTAAAATCTACAAATTTAGAAGAAAAAACCTAGATTGATAAGCATTTAGGAAAATTAATAACAAAGAGATTAACAATTTAATTTTCTTAGCAGAATATTAATAGTAAGAAAAGAATTATTACTTCTAATTTGATACATCACTATATAATAACAGTTCATAATATCAATTTTTTAAATAATCAATCAAAATAGAAATTTTGTTAGTATTTCAATATTTATATAAAACTATATAAAAATGATTTCAATTATTATCATTTTCTCCGACAAATAGCTATAGTTTATTAATAAAATGGCTTTTTAACAATTTAATTTACTTTAACTTTTTTTTTTTTTTTTAATTTTGAATATATTTTACAACCTACTCAATTATGTCGATTATTATATTAATAGATAAGAGAGTCACAAATGAATAGATATGGATCCATCCAAATAATAAAAATAAATCATCGTCTAATTCGATGCTATAAGCTAAAAATGATCCTGTTATTAGCATCAAAAAAAGCTCTTTGAAGATTAATTTAGAAAAATCATATCTTGATTTAAGTGGTTTAAATTTGATTATGAATATTAAGGAATAAAATGATAGCATTGATAATAATATTGATTAAACTTCTGGATAGTTCATAAACCACACGATAATTGCAATATAAAATTAGATTCTTAAAATTTGTAAAGACTTAAAGTTTATTCCCCAAAAACTACCTTGAATTCCATTAAAAAAATATCTCCATTTATTTTTATTTTTAATCAAGCTTGATGTAATTGCTATTGATTTAAATGATATCTAAATAATCAAAATTAAAGCTAAAATTGCATTTACAGAATTAAATATATCAAACAACGAACTAAATTGATAATTTGGAAACTAAAGTAAAGCACTAAAGGTAAGTTGATGAACTATAGTAAAATAGGTCTAAAAAATCACTTCCCGAAAGAATAATAACTTGAATTTTAAACAATTTACAAAGATGTACTTTTAAAATATCCTAATAATTTTTAATGATTTGAAGTGATTGAAATATTTGGATAGTTTATTTCCAAAAAATCGATATATATATTATGATGAAATAGTGCAACATAAAATATAAGTAGCAACAGAAGTTAAAATAGAAAAATAACAACTTTTTGCATTAATAAAAAAAAAGCAATTCAAAGAATCCTGCTCCGAGTTTCGGTTTAATTATTTGCTTTGAAATGGTAATTTTCCCCCATTTAATCTAGATAATTATTGATCTACTTAAAAATAGTCAAAAATAGGTGAGAGTGAAATTCTTGTGAAAGTATTTAAAAATTAACTTAAATGAGGAGGAAATTAACATTTCATATATCTGATGTAAGATAATGATTATAATAATTCTAGTAAATTAAAAAATAAAATTGTATTTCCTGTTAGTACAACTAAACCCGAAATCGATATCATTGAATAAATCATGGCCTCATTCATTTAAATGATTTATCCCAATTATGATTAGGTTTATCGTGATAATACAAAGGGATTTCCAAGGCTAATTTCCTTTTTGAGTTCATTCAATTCTTAATTATTCTCATTAAAAATAATAGATCTGCCAATTTCAATTCTTAATTTAGGGTTTTAAATAGGTTTTTAAAAAATTATTACAAATTAAAACAATGAATTGTTTAAATTTTAAGTTAAGTTCTATAAAGTTCTAATTTCTAATGAATAAATTGTTTAAGGAACAATTATATTATTAAATATATCCTAAATTTAAAAGGATGTCAAAAGTTTAACAGATTAGGTAAAACTTAATTAAACAATTTGTGTTTAACTTTTTTTGTCAGACTTGTTAATTAATAAGAAATCAGGGGATTTAAGAAATGTGCAAATGCTGAAAGAATCTTCTGTATTTTAACAATAAAAAGCTTCCTCTAAACCACAAAAGAAAGAGCAACCATCTCCTGGATAATTATTTCCATCATCACATTCTTCATAACTACTATTTAGTTTACCATCACCACATAAATCAATACATACTCCGTTGACTAATTTTTAATTTTGAAAACATAATATTTCATTTATTAATGGTTCAATTAGTTCTTCTATTCTATGACAAAATAATGTTTCAAAATTTAAAGAAAATCCCTCATCACATTCTAAACAAGCATTTCCCTTTTCACAAATCTTGCATCCATATTAACATTAATATTAACATTTAAAGCAACCATCATAAGGTTCATCATTGCCATCATCACAATCTTCAAAATATTTAGAAATTAAAGAATCACCACATTTTGGAACACATTTACCATTAATAAAATATAAAGCTTCCTCACAAATTTCACATATAGCATTTGATCTACAAATTAGACAATAATCTAAACATTTAATTGTACAATCTAAACAAGCTGTATCTAATGGATCATCACATTATTCGTTTGAGAATATGGCTATTTGGTTATCACCACAGAATTAATAGCATTGATTATCAATTAAATTCCATCCTTAAATACATTAATAACAAACACCATTATGACAATACAAACATTCTAATTAACAACTATTTTGGCATTTATCACAACCATCAAATTTAAATTTATTATAATCATCACATAATTCAGTTTCAACAACTAATCCATCTCCACAAATTGGTACACATTTAAAATTCTTAAGCATATATCCATTTTAGCATTATAAACACTATCCATATTTAAATATTAAACAATTTCTACTAGATTGAAATATACAATTAAAACAGCCCTCATAAGATAATTATTTTCCATCATCGCAAAGTTCTTATCCATTAATTTTTTTATCTCCACATATTGGATAGCAATTTTCTCGATATTCATCTAAAGTCCATCCATCTTTACAAATTAAGCAATTATTATTAATCTATTAAAAACAACCTTCGTTGAAAATATCTAAATTAATATCTTCATATGTGTAAAATACTTCAAAATCTCTTAGTTAAACGTATTATTAAGGAGTTTTAGTTTTTATATCTAGCTTTAATAAAGAATCGTGATGATTTTTTATTAATATTTCTATTAATTAATTACCTTAAGTAATTATTTAATTACCATATACATAATTTACTTCAATTTTTTAATAACCAATCTTAAAAAACCTTATTAATATATCTTGATGAGGAGGTAGTTAAGTAGAATAATTAATTACTTTAAATTTTATAAATTGACAATCTCCACACCCCAAATAAATTTAATAATGAAATATTCCTATCCATCCCTCAGAATCTTAATGACAAATATTGTTCAATGAGTTATAATGTAATTACCATTATAAGCAAATTGTTGGATAATTTTCAATACATGAGTTACATCCATATTAACATTTAATAATGCTTAATTGTAGTTTTTTTATTCCTCCTTTTTTTAATTAAATTTAAATCCAAGCATTTCTCCTGTTGTGTTAATAAATTTGAGATATTGTATAAATATAGTCTAATTATGAATTACCACAAAGAGAATTTGATGATTATTTTAATGATTCTTGGTCTATTTATTTTTCATCTAGAAGTAATTTTGGCTCTTAATTACCATCTATACTTTTTATAATTTAATAATATAATTACCTTAAAATTTCAGCATCTATCTTAATATGAGAATGAGATTCTAGATCTAAAAACATTCTACTAATATAATCAAAAAAATATGTTTTAGGTCCAAAATATTAAATATCTCCACATTTTTTGAAATCACTACCATGAAAATCTGACCAATCTAGATATATTTATTAATTCTTAAATTACTATCTTTATCATTATTATTTGCATCAAAATTAAATATCACTTTCTGATGAGTTAAATAAATGTTCAAAATTAAGATTATCATTTTAAAAAAAATAAAAATGAAATATTATTTAATTTTGTTGTAAATATAAAGGTTGAATTAAGAATTTGAGATATAATTAAATACATTATAACAGTAAGTTTGAATTTTCATTTTCACAATTAGATCAATTATATTCAGATAAATTTTAATTGTTTTCTATAATGATTATTTAATAAATAATTTTTGCTAAATTCCCATACACTTCAAATTATATTATGATTAGACATTATTTTTAAAAAAGAAAAAAATGGATTATGAAAATAAATTCAAAGGTAAATGAATTTATTGAATTTCTATTGTTGTTTAATTAGGTAGGCATTATCAAATCTATTGTATAAATTTTGAAACAGGAGCTTAAATTGTTATATACCTTATTACAACTATAGTAGAGAATTGTTCTTGCTTTTAAAAAGTTATAAAGAAAAATTATTTAGTTATTTATTAATATTTTTTTATTATGAATATTTACCAAGATGAATATCAATCATCATTAAAAAGAGTGTGTTTAGATGTTTTGGTTTGTAGTGAAAAAAACTAATAATATGAGGGTTTTCAACAAAATTGTAAAAGGCAAGTGATTGAGCAAATTAATTTCAAAATCAAATTTACTAGAGATAATGAAATTTAATACATTAAAGATGATGGGTAAATAATAAAAACGTAATTATTTTTTGATATATCTCTTTGTAGAAATAAATATATTGAGATTCTAAGTATTCCAGAGATAATGACTAATTTGGAATAAATCAATCATCTATAATGGTTAGGGGTCTACAGTAATGATTTTAAGAAGGTTGGAAGATGGAGTCCAATTTGGAAAGGTTCAGCATTAAGCGATTTTGGTGGATGGTACACACAGGATGGTAAAAAGTTCGGGAAATGGAAAGAATTATTCAAAACTTTTTCAGAGTAATTTAGGGTTTTAGTGTAGTAATGCTTAAGTATATGAAGTTGGAGATTACTATGATGATATAAAAACAGGAGATTGGAAATTTTTCTATGAAGAAAAATAAATGTAATTAGGATTTATAATTTTAGCGGAGGTGGCTAATATGATGATTAAGGATTAAAATATGGGCTTTGGGTAGATTTAAGCGATTATTTTTGGAAGTATTTTAATAATATAAAAACTAATAGTTAAAATTAAATCCTTTATAAAGGGTATTATAGAAAAGGTTAAAAAATTGGTCTATGGTAAATTATTAAGAATGGAAATAATGAAGAATTTGAATTAATGTATGAATAAGTCGATATTATCCTTTATAGTGGTGGGGGGTTGTATAATGAATAAGGTTAGAAAAATGGAAAATGGGAAGATTTGGGTTAAGATTTTAATTAGTTATTTAAATAAATTTATATTAATTATAGATGTGATAAGGTGTTTTACGAAGGTGAATATCTAAACGGTATAAAAATTGGAAGATGGAATATCAAATATAGAGAGATAAAAGGTGATGAATAGATGTATATAAATTGAAATTCAAATGGTAGTGCTGGTGGATATTATAATGATAAAGGTCAGAAGGAAGGTTAATGGTAGGATTTATTCACTAACTTCCAAAAGTAATAATAATAATTTTAATTCAATAATAAGGGATAGTAAAGTTTTCTTTAAAGGTGGATATAATTAGAATGGTGAGAGAGTTGGTAGATGGGAGATTATTTTTAAGGATTAAAAGATGTATTTCATTATTTACATAATAATCAAAGTGGTGGAGGAATATTTGATAGATAAGGTTTCAAAGTTGGACATTGGGTTGAATTGAGTGATAGATTTTAAGAGTATTTATCCATATTATTTTTAACATAGTAAGAGTTAAATCATTTATCATGGAGAATATATATAAGGCAAAAGGTTTGGTAGATGGGATATTAGTTTTAAAAAGGAATGGCAGGAAAAGCCTGAATGGATGTTTGAAATAATTATAATTATCATTTTAGTGGTGGAGGAATATTCACTGAATAAGGTCAAAAAGATGGAAGATGGACTGAGATTTGTGATTAATTTGATAAGTATTTTACATTTTTAGGCTTCTTAGTGAAAATTAATTCATTTTTGAAGGTTACTATAAAAATGGAAAGAAACAAGGTTTATGGGATCTTTATGACAATAATGAATGGATGTAAAATATATAGTTTATAAATTAGCTATATTGGAGGAGGAGTTTATGATAATGAAAATTTAAAAAATGGAAAATGGATAGATTATAATTTTAATTTTGGATAGTAATCATCTTTAAATAATAAAGTCTTAGTAATTAAGCTAGTTTTGAAGGTGTTTATTAAAATGGCAAAAAAATTGATAGATGGGATATTAAATATAAAGAGATGTGGAGTGATACTAATCAAAAAATGTTTATAATTTAAATTATTAATAAATAGTGGTGGAGGATTATATAATAAGGATTCTTAAAAATGTGGATTATGGATAGATTTGATTGATAACTTCAAGGAGTATTTTATTTATGAAATATTTAGTGATAATTAGATTATTTAATAAGGTGAATATCTTAATGGTATAAAAATTGGTAAATGGGACATCAATTAAATAATTGATTATATAGGGAATACATTTAATAGAATGTATAAAATTATGGTGATTAGTAAAATTTTAGAGGAGGAGGATAATATGATCAATATGGGCATAAATAAGGATAATGGGTCTAACTTTGGAGAAAATTCTCTCGGTATTTTTAATAATAATTAATAATAAGAAATTGCCCGGTCATTTTTTCAGGCTAATTTACATAAAACAAAAAAATTGGTAATTGGTTAATTAATTATAGAAATGAATAAATGTAAAATATCAAATTAATAAAAGCGGAGGAGGATTTTATGATGAATTTAGCTAAAAAAATGGTCACTGGATAGAATTGAGCGATTTTTTCAAAAAGTATTTCTTCGAATTACCAAGCAGAGATTGTAAAATTTTAAGTTCTGGAAATTATTAATATGGCCAAAAAGTTGGAAAATGGAATTTCAATTATAAAGGTTGGGGAAAAAACAAATATAAAAAGATGTAAAATACTTAATATTCATTATTTTAATTATAGAGGTGGTGGTTTATTTTCATAATTAGGATTAAAAGAAGGCAAATGGAAAGTTGTGAGTGAGAATTTTCGAGAGTAAAATATTTACTATTTTAATCCAGGGATAGTAAAGTTATCTATAAAGGAGAATATAAAAACGGTAGAAAATATGGGAGATGGGAAATTAAATATAGAGGAAGATAAGACAAATATTATTAAGAAATGTATGAGAAATATACATATATTTTTATTAGTGGTAACGGATTATTTAATGAAGAAGGTTAGAAGAATGGTTTATGGGTTGTTTTGAGTGATAGTTTTTGTGAGTAAGATATTATATAAATTAAGTTTAAATTAAATCTTATATTCAGGAGAATATGATAATGGCAGGAAAGTAGGAAAATGGATTGAAGATCAAGCGTAGAAATCATGAATTTTCAGATAATGAATAATATTACAAAGAAAATTAAAATAACTTATTTATTTTGACTTTTTATAAAACAAAAGCCACAAAAAAACTTTCGTAAAAATTCCAAAAAAAATGAAAGGAATATATTTTGAAAAAATTATTAAATA